ATTAAACAGTGTTTAATAAACAGTTTTTTATTAAACAGTTTAATAAAAAAATAGTTTTTATTAAACTGTTTTTTTATAATCTATATTTTTATATTTTATTTCGGAAAACAGTTTTTAATGTCTAAATTAATATTTTATAATTAACATGTTAAACTTTTTTGGAAGTTTGACATGAGGGGGTATATTTTTAAATAATCCGGGAATAATAATTTTGATAGATGATAAAATAATAATAATCCTAACAATGTCCAAAGAATTCTATTGAGCATGCTTCATTCTAAGTCCAAAAATTAGTCCAACATAACCTAAATGATTCGGGTATGTATTTTAAACTATATCTATTCAAGAATAATATTGATGCATATAATGTAACACATAAGTCCGAAAAAAAAAGGTTTGAATAATCATGCATGTTGTTTAACCAAAAATTAAATCATATTTAGGCATGCATATTAAACATATACACAAAAAATATAGTCATGCATATTAAACATATAAACTAAATCATGTTATATTGAGCATATAAAACATGTAATAAACTAAATTATATTAAACATGTATACAAACTAAAGAAAATTATAAACTAAATCATATTTCAAAATTTAATATTAAACATGTATACAAAACTAAAGAATCATGCATAAAACAAATTTAGCATATAAACTAAATCATATTACACATGTATTAATACACAAAACCGAAAATTAATATACAAAACTAAAGAATCATGAATAAAACAAATTGATAATTTCGGACATACTTATAATCAATCATGTATATAATCATGCATTTGAGTGTATTTCAACAAAAGAGCATGCACTTTAATAATTCGAACATACTTATAATAACATGCATTCTTGGAATAAAAATCAAATATTAAAAATAAGAATGAAAAGTAATTAGAATTTAGAACACATAACCTTGATGTAAAAGGTAAGAGGGATGGCGAAGAGCGGTCGACAGAGGTGGCAGACGGCGAAGAGCGGCCGGCGGCGGCGGGGACGGCGACGGGGGCGGCGGTGGAGTGTAGAGGAAGGGAGAAGGGAGATATGAGGGAGAGGGAGAAGGTAGATCGAGAGAAGGGAAAAGCGTAGGTTAAAAAAAACCTAAGTGTTGTTTATATATGAGCGGCTAGTCACGGATTTAGTCACGGATATATCCGTGACTAAACCGTCGTAATTAACGAAGTCAGACACGCGGAAGACGAGGTGTCAGGGCCGCCTTTGACCGGCATAGTCACGGACGGATCCGTGACTACGGCCGTGACTAATTCAAAATTTTGAATTAGTCACGGTCGTAGTCACGGATCCGTCCGTGACTACTTTTTTTTTTTTACCATTCTGTCAGCTCCTCGGGCAGGCCGGCGACAAGGAATAAATTCGATTTGTCACGGCCTGATCCGTGACAAATCCGTGACTTTTTTTTGTATAAATAAGTGATGTCTGGTCCAATGTTTGTGTGGAAAATAAAATGGCTAATCGAGAACCAATTGACTGGGATTCGATGTGTAGAGGTATGAAACGACTTAAGCTAATTACACAGCTTATGGAGCCGAAAACTGTTGAAGCATCGGAAAAAATCAGGGAGTTGATGGCTAGACCCCTTGAAAGTTTTGGCGACTATAAAGATGAGGAATCCGACTCAATCGGCAAGTCAAAAGCAAAAAACTTGTGTCGGATGCTTCAATGTGCACAAGAATGTTCAGAGTATATGGACCCGATCAACGCAGAAGCTCAAAGGAAAATTAACGAGTTGTGGGCTAGGCCTCTTAAAAGTTTTGACATTGATGAATAATTCTTTATTTGTTTGTTTGCTTATGATAAATGAATTATGTTAGTTAGTTGATTGTGCTAAATAAATTGTGTGTTTCGTACTTATCTTTTAAATTTGATAAATAAATTCCTGTTAGTTGTTTATTAAAATCTGAATTTATTATAATATTCAGGTTATTAAAAGTAAATTAATTTTTTTTTGAATTTTCGAATTTTGATAATTTTGTATATTTAGAATTATTAAAATTAATTTTCAAATTTCAATTTTTTTTTATAAGGATATAATATGGAGTGATTTTAAATTTCGAATTATGAAAATTTTAATTTTCAAATTTCGAATTATTAAAAGTATATTTCGAATTTAGAATATGGATATAAAAAACTCGTTGTTGTTGAATTAATATGGAGTAATTATTATTTCACGAATAATAATGATGAAGAAAAAATCAAATATTGTTAGAGTAATATAACGATGAAGAAAAGGGCACATATATTCGAAGTAAAAAAATTGAAATTACAACAACACAATTAGTCGCTGTTAGAATCGTTATTTTCTACATATACAACGTCTTCTTCTGTATCAGAACCGTCTATCCATTCCCCTTCTTCCTGATATTGGGCGTTTTGTTGTGCTTCATACATTTGAACAATTTTGTGCTCAGATGGAGATGTTAGGTCCGGAAGATGTGTTTCTGGCATGACTTCAACACGTCCGCCATTTGGATCACTTAACTGAATGTGATGGTTGACCGTTTCAACAATAGGCGGAGGTTGAAAAAATTGTTGCTGAAAAGCAAGCTGCAATGTTTTTAGCTTAATCAGCGCTTATGTGTATAATATCTGCCTCGTCAAACGCCAAATCATCACCTAGGTTGCTAATCGGTCGATTACAGGGCAAAAGGAGGATCTGGCTTTTTTAAAAGGGTTTAAGGGTTCAGGGGCTTAATTGATTTTTTTAATAGTTGGGGGGCTCATTTGATAGTTTTCCCTTATTTAAATAAAAAATAGTATTCAAGATGGAATTTTTAATGCTGGAGAGCAACACATGTACCCGGGCAATAGCAAGGAGGATGCAGGAGACCAGAAGAGAAGGATGATTTGGAAAGAACTCGTGGAAGAGGTCCAGACAGGTGAGGAGATGGCCCTAGAAGCTTTAGCCCAGGAGGATCAGACCAGGGAGGGAGATGTAAAGAATGATATGGTGTTGGTCTTCTCAAAAAACGGGGTTGGGGCGGGCGTTGGACTGCAGCCCTGTCGGATGATCTGATGTGGGCTACGGCCTTACTTGCTTAGAAAGTTATTTACTCTTTTTGTTTTGCTTTGATTACTTCCCGTGTTTTGGATGTTTTTTTTGTTTTGGTCGTGCTGTGTTTTTCCAGCAAAAAACTTATGAAACTAAGACAGGAGATGAGGAGTCGTGTCTGCAAGTCGTAGGCTCGGGTAAGCCCAAAGTGTGATCAACGAATTATATGGCTTCTTCGGAGGTGATTAATTCAAAGTCTGGTCCTTGGGCGGACGGTAGACATGAGACTTGTTGTCGCTTTGTAACATGTTTTGGTTTGGTCCGTTTGGTAATGATAAGTTAAGCCAGTTTCGTTAAAAAAATATAGAAAATAGTATTTTATATGAGTAATGAATAGTGTAGAAAAAGTAGGAGAGGTGATAGAAAAGTATGAGACATTAGATAAAAATCAGAGTGGTTGAGTATTTTTTTAAACATATTTACCAAAAAAGGAAAGTATAACAAAGATTTAAAATATATTCCAAAATACTATGTGAATTAAATTTGTTTGGTTTGAACTTTTATTGCTTTTGTCGTTTTGTATAGCTTGATCTGATCAGGGACTGAGGGAAGTCTTCGGTTGTTTTGAATTTATTGAAGTGGTAAAGAGTACAATGACCTTAAGGGTCAGAAATAACTCTATGACCGGTGTTCTTTTGGTGGTCAGCGATTCGTCTCTTTGGAAGTGGCCGTCTCAGAGTCTGATTGTAGGGTTTTTCTTAAATCTAGATGAAGTCTTTTAGAAGATAGTTGGCGATTTTGTACTTTTTGGCTGGTTATAACTCCAAATCATTGATTATAGTTTGGTGTTTTTCTTTCAAAAAAAAAAAAGAAGAGTACGTATATCATACCACTGGGTGTACGTACACCCGGCCCAACTAAGGGAGACAGCCCAACAACCAATACAAGCCAAATTTTTTTCGGTGGCAATTTTGTAATTGAAGTGAAAAATCGCGGCTTCCGCTAAATGAGCAATAATGTAATTTTAGTGAGCATCAAACCTATTTTATTGAGTATTAGGAGGCTAACAATAAGTTTCAAGATCTTTGCTTCATATATTGTAATTCTCTTTCTTTTTCTTATTTTTTCTTTTATAAAAACTTATTAAATTATATCTATAATCCACTCTTATTAATTTCAATATGCGAGTCTAATATAATATGATACTTTTGAAATATGCATTGATAAAAAAAATATGCATTGATATGATATTGTAAAAATGAGCATTACATCAATACCACATGAGCATTACATCAGTACAAATGAGCATACATAACTTACAAAGTTCACATTGATATGAAACGGAAATTTTTGTTAGTTGAACAACATGACATTTTAATTGAGCATCAAACATCCGCTATTGAGATGAAAATCACGGTTTCTTGTAAATGAGCATTAATGAACTTTTAATGAGCATCCGGCCTATTCTGTTGAGTATTCGGAGTCTAATATATGAGCATAAGATCAGTATCAGATGAATATACGTAACTTACAAAATGAGCATTAATGAATTTGTTGGTTGGTTTGTTAGTTGAACATCACGATATTTTCATTGAGCATCAAAACTCCTCTATTGAAAACAAAATAACGGTTTCTTTTAAATGAACATTAATACACTTTTAATGAACATGATACTTAAACTCTTGAGACGGCAACATACAATAATAATAAAAAAATGAACATGATACTTATTCTGTTGAGCGTTAGTTTCAAAATGTTCATTTAAAATCTCTAATTGATAATTTTAGTTGAAAATCGTGACTTCTACTAGTTGAGCATCAAAACATATTTATTGAGTATCAAACTTACTATATTGAAAATGCATTGATATATAAACGTGATAAAAGTGTGTAATTCTAAAAATGTAGAAAAAGTATTCTAAACAAAACCATTATATAGAACAAATCAAAGCTATATTAACATTATATACAAGTGCAACAACACAATAAGGTATTTCATCAAAGAGGAATGAACTTTCACTTTGTAATTTTTTCAAACAGTTTGTAGGCATTCACTATTTTTAAGCTGATTAAAATCAACTACAGTATTATTAGAGAAGGAAGGAGAATTCAGAATTGGTTTTTATCAAATTTCCTCTTATATCAGCAACTTTAATTTAAATCTAAAATTAACTTTTGAGAATTTCAAAATGGATTAAGGGGGTGTTTGGAACTGATTCTGCTTCTGCTTCTTTTTTAAAGAAGAAGCAGAATCAAAATCAGTTTTCAGAAGCTGGTACCCTCCAGCTTCTAAAAAAACTGATTCTGGGAGTAATTTAGAGCATCGGAAGTGCTTCTGGAATTTCACCCAAACACTCCAGCTTCTGCTTCTGCTCCCTAAAGGAGTAGAATCAGTTTTGAGAATCAGATCTAATTGAGATGAAAAGAAAAAGAAAAAAAGTAAAGTAAGAAACATAGAAGTTGGGCGCCGGAAAAGTAGACAAGAAACGAAACGGACGTCCGGGCTTGGAGGAGTGAAGGATCGGAGCAACAACATGCCATTCGAACTGTGAATATTTGCAAAAATACCCGGTTATACGGTGAGGAGGGGTGTACTATATTTTGCCGAAATAACAGCAAAACTAGGCTTAGGGGTCCTGGGTTTTGGAGCGCCAATCCTTTTGGCAATTTTGGTTTGGGGTAGCAACGATGAATCGGTTTTATTCTCTTTGATTCTCAGACTTTTGGGAGAAGACTATTAAGCACGAAAGTAAGCATTACTTTGGTCGGCTTTAATTGATGACCATTACACACGGTTTCTCTAGCTTAGTAGCTGCGATTGAAGTAAACATCAAGTACGATAATAGGGATCTCATCTGGAGGAGTAAACAGCGTCAAAGGATGCACATCTCATTTCACATATATAGCTCATCCCTCTTCTGAACCACCGTCACGAGATGGATGAGAAGATTGGAGTTGTGATTTTATAACCTAATAATTCATTATAAAATAAAAATATTGCAACAAACCTTTCAAAAAAAAAATGTCACAAACATATTTAAATGGGAATCGGATGTAAACATGTCAAACTTATCCAGTTAAAATACGTTTTAGGCCTTGAAAATTCTCACAAAATCGTGTGCAAACGTTTATCAAATTGAATTCATTGATAAACTGAAGAACTGGGTTGCGGTCTAAACTAGCATAACAAATAATCTGTATCAGGTAAAATTCCTATTCACTTAGAAAAACTGAACACACGTTTCATAGCAGTATGGCCGAATTAGTTCTTGATCTTGTCACATTTTAGTTCTTGAATTTTCTTTTTGACATTTTAGTCTTCTTATTTCTTATTTTTATTTAAAAAAAAATAGATATCTTACCATAGTTGAGTCGACCTCTTCTCCTCTCCTCTCATGACCTGTGATATACCTAGTTACAGTTGTATTTCCATCTGGTCAATCCAGAACCGAACCGGGTCACCCTATAAGTGGATGGATAAATTGTATTTTCCATATAAAATAAATTTCATTCTTTCCTTTTTCGTCCGCCATAATAAACTTATTTTTCCCTTTTGACTAAAAATCCACGGTTCACATTATTTCTCACTCATCTTCCCAACTTTAGGCTATGCAACCCTCACTTTCTTGATCTCCATGCAAAGTGAAAACATAAGTTAATTACGGGAGGGAGTACTCTAATCACCTGATACTTAGAGAAGGAATGCCAAACATGGGGTCACGTTATCCTTGTAAAACAAAACAACTTTTATTGATAAGAAGATCATAACTCATAACATGTTCAAGTAGGCAATCTAAGTCCCACAAAAACACAATTGACTTTTTATCAAGTTATTTAACAGTAAAGCAAAACAACATAAAAATTTGTCAATGACAAGCTTCAGGGAGGCTGTTGCTTTAAAGATTTGCTGCAGCTCTTTGCTGCTTAAACATCTCTTTCACGTTAAAGAGATGGGTGTGAACTTCATGAAAATGAGGTTGAGTTGCTTTCTTCGTCTCATCAATCCATGTCAGAACTTTCTTATAAGGGCTAATTATTCTCTCTCTATCCTTGTCCTCCAAAAGCTGAATTGCCAAAACATATATGCATAAAAGAGTTAGATTAACACCACAACAAGAGGGGGAAAAAATAATACCTATGAACAGAACAGGCAAATTAATTTGACGTAAAATCAACTTCCAATTAAGTACAAAAGATACATAATGCATAAACTATCAGCCCCACTTATATTTCTAGATGTATACGTTTTTTAATATATCCCTTATGGAGCATCTCTTTGGAGTAAGAACTACTGGTACATATTATAAATTCATTGAAAGCTGGTTTTATAGTTGAAATGATAACTATTACTTTGGGGACAAAAACATTGAAACTGCCGCAATTTCTACATGTTAACCTAAACCTTCCAATCTTGTGATGCATTTCGTTCATACATGAAAGGAGGCAGATAGTAAGCATTCGAGGTGTACCAGCAGAAAAGGCTAAAGGTGTGTTTGCCATTGCTTAAATTAAGTGCTTTTTGGCTTTTAGATTAAAAAAAAAGCTAAAAGAGGTGTTTGGTAATACCAAATTTTGATTAAAAAAAAAGTGCTTTAAATTTAAAAGTTGGAAGCTGGAATATACCAGCTTCTAGGTAAACTTGTAATTAACTCCAACTTTATGGCTACTGATAATGGCGAAAAATCTGCAAACCCCCCAAAATGACCACATCACGCCCATCTGCAAACTCCAACTTTACGCCCATCTACCCCATAGCCCTGGACAGAACACTCGTCCATCTTCATTCGAGCCATTCGAACGAAGTGAAGCAAGATATATTTTGTTGGCGCCATCCTCTCGTTCCATCTTCATCTGCGCCATTCGAACGAAGTGAAGCAGAGCTGTTCACGGAGGAGAGCTGTGAGAAGCGCAGCTGTGACTGGGAGAGTGTTTTTGAGCTGTAGGCTATGTGCGAAATGTTACAAAGGGACCTGGGAGGGAACGATGATTAATTCGGTGGATGAATTTGGGGACCTAGAGGCTGGAGTAGCAGCAGAAGCTTCGAACGATGATGAATTCGGATTTGGGGGCTAGCTGCAGAAGTTAACCCTATGTGCAAGGGATATTTTTGTACTTTTCAGAAAATATTCCATCACACACTTCTTTATCAAACACTCCAACTTTTACATTTTAATTAAAATCACTTCTATTCCCAAACACTACCAACTTTTACTACAAATCACTTTTCCAATAATCTCTTTAAAAATTACTTTTAAAAAGCACAAGCAACCGCAAACACTCCTTAAAATAAGTGTGGCATGTAAATGAAAAGCAGCAAAGAGAGAACTTTTGTTACCTCAAGTTGCATTATTTCACAAACTAAGCTAAGATCTGCAATGGAAGGTTGGGTATTTCCCAATAGAAAACTTCCATTTTCCTGGAGCCAAAAAGACTCAATCTTATCAAGAGATGCCAATAGGATTTTCTCTCCTTCAGCTGCTGCTTGCGGGTTCAAAGGAATACCAAACACAGGTGCAAGCGTAGAATTCAAAATATAACCAACTGGGTAGAAAGAGGAAACAATTGCAAATCAGTCATCTTCAATTTTCAAAAACAGAAACAAAACTAAGAAAGGATAAAACAATTATTACTGGATTATTATTGGTAAATCATTTGATATATTTTAAATATCTAAAATGAATTTGACAATACGTATTTTCCCTCACCATTTTTTTTCATTCCAATATTACAGTTTACTTCTTCACTAAGTTTATTCAAATTTATTCCTAGGCCTGAAACAGACCATTGGAGGATTTTTTCTATTCATTTTCTTTATTTTGGAAATTCGATGTCCTCATTGTTTTCCCAAAGGGGTATTGACTTGAAACTAGTCATAAAACATTTACAGCTTGTATATAAATCATACGTTCATTATCATATACTATAAATCATAAACACACAATATTTTTATTTCAGAAATTTGAAACAGCTATTTTAAAACATAAAAGATTGAAACATAAAAGATAAAAACTAAAAGCCATAACAAAACAAACAAGCTGGTTTTGTTCACTAAGATATTTACAGATCAAACACCCCATTTATCATTATATCCTAATATCCTTTACTCTGGGCATATCTTGTACAAGAGTATTTGATAAAGCTTAAAAGCATATGATATGATTTTAAAATACACCTAGCACATTCTTGTTTCTGGGAGACTACAATAATGAACACAATAGCAGATTGGAGTCCTTCACGAGTTAAGGTTAGGATGATTAAAATGGAAAAATACATAATTGTAGTCAGGAACACATTAAAAAAATAGTTTATACGTAGTACTACGTAGTTTATATAGAGAACAAGCTACAGATAGATATAATATAGATATGAAAAACCTGCGCCACGGCGTAAGTTAGCGTGGTGCCAGTCTAACACTGAGTCAGTCTTTGCTCTTTCGCGTAGTTCAGCAGGATACCTTCAAAGACAATTCAAAAGGCATTGGAAAACCACGCCTCTAAGTAACCTAGACTATTTAAAGTCGATGTAACCACTAAAAGGATTCTATGTAAAAAATAATGTCATCTCAATGTGGTAAAACATCACATATTAAAGCATTATAAGTATGAATATATGATATTGACTAAAAATAGTAAACAACAAAACTCACCAATGATCTGCAACACGATTGATAGAAGCTAGATACTTGAGAATTGTGTGGCTGAAGAACAAAGCAGATGTTATAAACTGGGTTAAAATGGTTATGATGCCACAAAGTAGATACTAATTACATTTCCATTTTGTTTTTCCGGTCTCAGAGCCATGATAAAACAAACCAAATAGAGAAATGTCTATAGAACTAAGACACAGATCATATTCATATACAGGACCAAAGGCCACTGTTCTTCCTAAAAAATGAATCTCATTTCATAAAAAGGAGTACATAACTGATTTAATGCTTATTAAATTTTTAATAAACCAGAGCGTGTTTGGCAAAAAAAATCTTCTCTTATCAGGCATTACTTGTTCGTTGTTACCAGCACGAATTTTCTGATCTCACGTGCTAAATTGGTTCATGATGGAAAACCTCAAACCGGTCAGATGTACTTTTGTGGTTGAATTGACAGAACAGAACCATTTTATCTTTTCCATATAGTTCTTTCTTTATGACACTAGTGAAGTATAATATAACTACGACTATTTCACAATTTCGTAGATTTCATCCACTTCAGCCATAACATCAACAATGATAGCAGATTCAGCCAAATTTAATTTCACCAAATGAGCTTTCAAATTTTGAGGGTTGAAACAATAAGGGCCATATTTAAGAACATTTCACATGATAAGGTCCTATTAATGCAAATGCAAGAACTTTGATTATTTAAGAAAAGCTCTCTTTGATATACTCCGTATATCATAAAGATTTCAAAACCAGAGTGGATTGAGACAATTTTTTGTGCACACAACAGCTGCTAAAGAAAAGGACTAGAGTATCCATCAGTCTATAGACAGCAACACCCACACACTCGATATAACACATACAGATCATTTATTTTCTTGGTACTAAATTACAAATGTACTACCTCTCAAACAGTTGGAAATTTCCATCCACTATAGCTGGCACTTGCTTCATAGGATTAATTTCTGCAATAACAACAAAATCAAACAATAAGTCAAAGGAATCATTATGGTAGGGGTTTTGGAAGCTCGTATGTTATAAGCCTTATTCTTGACATTTCTAACCACACATTAACACATCTCACTACACTGGAATGGGTGATTATAAGACCACTAGATTAGGAAGTTTCTTTTTGGATGAAAGGTAATAACAGTGACACTTCAACTGTTACTTTCTTTCATTTATTTAAAAATGTGTTTTTAAATAAATGTT